CTCCTGCCAGAGGGTGACTCTGCCTCAGGGGTCCCAATCACCCAAACCCTTGGTCTGTAGTGTCACTGTTGAGGCAGGGATGGGAATGAAGAGACTCCATCTTCAGAAGGCAAAGGATGATCTTTACTCAAAAACACCTCTCTCTTTTATAGAGAAAATAATGAACATTGATTCCATTGGAATTAAAGTGAAACCATTTCACCTGATTGGCTCACTGGCTCGGGTCAGTGTGGTAGAACAGATCTATGAACAATATGAATGGAAAGCAAGATAATCGATTGTTTGCATTCCTCCCAGACTTTTTCCCAGCCTTAACCTGGCAGAAAGCTTTCTCTTTTTCTCTGACTGAACTGAGAATATCCACACTGTAGGAGCACCCCTGTTCTTCTGCAGGGTGTGCTGAGAATTTCAGAAGCAGAATGTCAGCTTCCTTCCCGTCCCGTACCAGTGCTGTGGATGATGTGGAGTGTCAGAGGACCCAGTTGGCAGCAAGCACAATGTGTAATTCACTGTTAATGTGGGATTATGGAGCTGAGCAGGGCCTGCTGCCTAGCAGTGTTACGCTGTTAATCAGCTGTAATCTCAGCAGTGCTGATGGCTGAACCCACAGCCAGGCTCACACACCAGCCCCACAGCTCTGCAGCTGCTCTGGAGATGTGATGCCCAGCTCAGTGCCCCTCCTGCCTTACCCGGGCTGTTTGCAGCTGGCACGGGCACTTCACATCTCCCACGTCTCCATCTCCTCTTGCAAGGTGCTGCCAGGCAGGCAGTGTTCTCAGTGGAGGCACCAGCTCCTGGAGCTCTCTGGTGGGCTTTGTCTCCACTGCAGCCCTGTCAGCAGCCAGGACTGGCTGCCTCTGGCTTGTTCTGTGAGCAGCTGCTGGGTTCGTTTCAAGGGTGGCAGTGCCCAAGTGCCCCTTTCCCACGTGCTCTTCCAAGCAACTTTCCCTGTCCAAACAGAAATGGCATTTTTGTGTCAGTCCTTCAGGTTTGGCACTGGTGAGGTGGCGTGGCTGTGTGAGGGACAAACCTGAATGCTGAGCCTCAATTAACATTGTCCTGGGAGGCTCCACTCGGATTTCCAGCCTGCACACTGGACCATTCTCATGACCTCAGGCTCCCGTGGATTTCTCTTGATAACACCATCTAATCGGATTTAGAGTTTAATTAAACAGCTGTCACTTTGCTTCCTCATTCTGCCACAATTTAATGTTGAATTAGTTCCTGAATCAGTCATGGCTGAATGCTTGCCTTCTTACAATGGAGAGGCTGGATGAGCATAAGGTTTGCTCCTCAGCTAAATGCAAGCAGTATTTTGTATTCTTGCTCTTTGAGCAGAGCTCCCACTGCCATCAGTGTGAGTTCCCTGGCTGGAGAGGGCTGGGATGAAAGGTGAGATGCTGCAGAGCCATTCCTGGGTGCCTGGCTCTGGATGAGCAGGTTGAGCACAGCTCCTGAGCTCTGGGGCACGCCTGCTGCAGGGGTGTGCTTCCCCTTTCTGAGGAGGGGATGTTCCTGCAGGGCAGTCCTGCACAGCGGTGCAGCTGGGGAGGGCAGTGCTGGGGCATTTCATCCAAACTAACCTGAGCAGAGTGTCAGTGCAGCTTTATGCTGCTCTGAGTGTAGCAGCAGCTCAAGGAGGAAAGCTTGGAGATCTCCTGGACAGCGGTGGTTTTGCATCAAATTCTGCCAATACATTTTAAAGTAATTTCTTACACAAAAAATTCAATTATTTGCTTTCAGATGTCTCCTTTGATACCTCCTTGAGCCTAACCACTAAAGTTTTCCTGTAATCATTAGAGGAAAAATTGTTCTTTATTTATACTATTTGTTAATTAAATGCATTTAAGTCGTAATTATTTCCTTCATATGTTGTGTCCATTGAAGGGATGCCCTGGTAACAGGAAAGAACCTTCCAAACTGGGAGCTTGTAGATGTTCTTCAGGCAAGAAAGGCAGCTCAGCCTCTGCAGTATCAGAGTCAGATGTTGTTGGGATTTGGGCATTGTGCTGCCAAGACAGCTGGAGGCTTCCAAGGTCAGAGCTGAATCTCCCTTGTTTCCATGAGGATTATCTGTGTAGTTCTGTTTTAGCTGTGGAAGTGCCAGCCCTGGCTTTTTTAGGGTTTGCAATTCATTTACAGAAACTTCTTTCTGACCTGGATATTGATGCTGACTTAGAGTGCATCTTCCTTCTGGTTTTGTTTTTTTTTTTTCAATTTACTCTACTTCCCTCATTTTTTAAATTTCTTGGGGAACAAGTCCAAACACTTCTATCAGATGCTTTCAATTTTTTTGTCACATAAAATAAACTTCATTTTAAAACTCTACTTGCTGCCTGCACAGAAAGTAGATTAGTTCTTGGGGGATTTTAAAAATTAAAGAATGTGGAAATGGCCAAGATATTGTGATTTTGAAAAGTGCCTTCATTTTAAATGAATTCACAGTCTCTGAAAGTTTCTTAGGAATGCTGTTTGTGTTCTCCTGAATTAGGCTGCAGCCAGGGCAGTATACTGTGTTTAAGAATGAGACCCAGGAGCCCCCAGCTCTGCTGGCTGCTGGGTTTCCTGTGCTGCTGGAGGGAAATTGTGGTCCTGGTGCTGCTTGACATGTGTGACATTCCCATTCTCTGGACACAGAGACACGATTCTGCCTCTCAGGATTGCACAGGGAGAAGAAGAGAAAACAATCTCT